TTTGTTTTTCTTAAGATGTTAATTTGCCGTAATTGTGTTATGCAGTCTTAAGAGCCTGGCTCCAAGGAAGGGAATTATTGGTGTGTGCATTTTAGTAATAATGATTAGAGGACCAGAAAAAAAAGAAAAAAGAAAAAAAAATGGAAAAACTGATACGAGAGAAGGAACACATTGCTAAAATTCTCACGTCCTTTGGAAGAGAGCTGCAGTTTGTTGCTTTAAGGGGAAAAAAGTCTGCCTGGTGTCTCTCTGACACCTAAGCATTTCTGCAACAGAATTAATTCAAGGCAATTAATGGAAATAAAAGCAGAAATGGGCAGTGACTTGTGTTGTGACACACATGGAAGCTGCTAACTCCTGCAGTTTGAGGTTCTTAAGAGGAAGAATGCACCTGGGGAGAGAAAAATAAAACACAACTGCTTGTTGATGGTACTGTAGCAATTCCTCAATATCTTAATTAGGAACACAGCGTGCTCTGCTCAGACCTGAAGCAGCTCAACCCTACGTTGCTTAAGACGTAATAAAGCAGACAGGCAAAGGAGCAGGAAGGTGTGGCAGAGGAGGGGGGGCAAAAGCGAAATTCACATTCCTGCCCAGCCAAAACCATAGCTGAGAGGCCAGGCAGGTGGGTTGGCTCCTAAAAGGCTGAAGTAGTGGCTTTTTCTTTTGGAAACCCAGGTAAAACCCTTCCAGGAGTCCTCACTGATGAGCTATTTTTGCTGCTGCTGCTATCCAGAGCCCAGCTCCCTCCTTCTGAATGCAAATACTGCGCCCTACAATGGGGCAGGATCCCAGAGAGGAGTGCTGAGGGGTCAAGGCAGGGCCTGGGAGTCAGCTTATATTAGTGCAGCTCATGCGATTGCAGAAAGGAGGGGAAAAAACACATGCACACAAGAAAGGCCCTTGAAAATGAAGAAAGAAAAGCATTTGGATGGCTTCTTCTAAAATGGAGGGAACAGGATGCAGGGTTTTTGCTGCCCAGCAACTTTGGAGCCTTTGCTCCAGTTTCAAGCTAAGAAATCAAGGCTCGGTCACACTGTCTATCATCAAGCCTAAAGCAACAAGTCTGAAGAGATCTGTCAGTGGGATCTGTTGGATACCATCAGCTTTTTGACACCAGAAGGGAATGCCTCCTACGCTGGGTAGATATCTGCTTGTCAATAAAGGCACTAATTAGCATGTGCCTCCCATGCATTAATTCAGAAAACAAATTGGCCTGTGGTCAGCAAAGACTAAAACAACACAAAGCAGCTACAGCTCTCAGTATTTGGAGGATTTTTAAGGTCTAATCATCTTCTACTCCTGTGGCTGCCCAAACACTACAGTGATCTTGTCTACATGTGATGCTGACTGTTAGATCCGCTGTCAATTTGTGGAGCTGCAGCACATTCATCACCTCCATTTCATCCTGTGCTGGACCCAACCTGACAAGCACCCAGATCAGATGATGCTTTGATATATTTTGCCATTTCTGTCCCAAAGGGAAAGGGCCCAGCAGACGGCTCCTGCAGCTCCAGCTGTTGGCTTCAGCAGCTTTGGGTTGGGAAGATGCTCCCTCTAACACACCACAGCAATCACTTATTGATGCAACATTATCACTGATCATTACTATAAAGCTGCTGACTTCTCCTGGTTTGGGCCCTTCCATTTCAATCTCAGTCAATAGTTGTTGTCAGTAAATAATGGGGAAACCTATGCTTATGGAAAGGTTGATGGAGCACTACTATCATATATCCTTTCCTTAAACAATTTTCTCTAATGTTGCTAGCAAACAATTGCTGCCTGGAGGTGGCACTGGGTGAGATGAGCTTTGCATTTGCAGTCCCAAAGCACCACTGGCTCTTCGTCCGTGAGAGGCTCTGTATGTCAGCTGTAACTTATTGCTGTACTCTGAGCTGCTTAGAAGAAGAGACAGTCAAAAGGTGAGCAGAGAACTTCTACTCCAGGGCTTTTGAGAGCTGTGCATCTCTAATGCAGCACAGGAATTCACTGCTCTGTGTGCTCTGAGCGGAAAAGAAATCCTGCAGACAGAATACAAACACCTGAATCAAGTGTTAAAAACCCACCTATCTTGCACTGTCTTGTTTGAGCACACTTTCAGTGCCCCATAGCCATTTTCCATATTAAAGACTCATGTCAAGCTAGGGCAGAGGAAAGTGGCACTACAGGAATGCTGCAGTAGCATCATAAGAAAGGACCCAGCTCGACACAGGAGACAAAATAGAAAAGAGCAGAAGGGATGAAAACTAAAAACAGCACTTTTCTCTGGGTGGATTTCTACAGCAGTGGGTAAAAATCAGTCTTCCCCAGGCTACAAGATGGCATTGTTCTCCAGACGTGGTTAGACTTGATCGTATCACCCAAGCAATATGTCAAGGCACTCCTCATGAGTTACATGGAAATAAACCTCTACCAACGTCTCTATTGATTAGGCAGCCTTCAGAACCGCAGCCATCACGAAAAGCAGGGCCCCAAATCTTCACCCACTGCAAAGTAAAAAAGCACTGCTGACTTTAATGAAGCTGCCTTGCTTTACATAAATGCATGGCTCCTATCTGTTTGGCAATCTGCCCGTGCTTAAGTGAGTCAGGAACATGGTGAAAGTCCCCATGAATCCCAAGATGGAAAATTTTAGACATCTGTAATACTTGGACATCTCATTATTAAATGACTTTTAAATAAACACACAAACCTGTCTTGTTTGAAAGTTTTTAGCCCAATTTATCTTCAGCTCAGCTGTGCTACAGGCTCCAGGCTCTCCTAATCTCAAAAGACAGAGGAATAGGTCCTCTTCCCTCCAGCTGAGGTTTACTACAGAACACTAAGCATCACTTGCCTTTGGGTGGGCTTTCTATCTTATCCAAGCATAAGAAAAACCCAACTGAACCCTGAGGGTTTAGCAGTAATCTTCACCACTTTCTGAAAGACGACCAACTCCAACCACACCAAAGCCAACAGCACAACAGAGAAGAGCTCCTCCTCTTCCAGCATCACAGGTCGCATTTCTTGACTTCCAACATTCCTGCTGCTTTATCCTCAATCGTGATCAATATAAAACATCTGAAGTGGACTTGTGCAACTCCAACACATTTTGGCAGAACTAAGTGCAAAGACTGTTCCATCAATCTCAGCTGTACCAGTCATCCTGCCCCATCCATCTTCATCTGACGGCACACACAGACCATCCTTTGTTTGATGAACCTTCTGACATTGGACTATTTGTGCTCTCTGGATGTATGAGTTCTTCACTGCAATGCATTAATTCTTCTCTGAGGATTTTCGGGAATAAACTGCTGTCTGGAACTTCCTTTTGCTTCCCTCCATTCCAGAAAGACGTCCTCCAACAAGGGTATTACTCACAGGGAGCTGGTATGCCGTAATAAAGGGCTATTAACTGGAGCTATGAATGTAAATTTATTTCCATAGTGCATTTATAAACTTGGAACAAGCCAGCACTATGACGAGGTCATATGGACCAGTAGAAGGAAGACCTTGGGCATGGTCCATCTGATCCTCCTCCTGGGGCTATGTTTCCCATTGATTGAGTGAAATAGGGTTCAAATTGCCTCATCCAAAGGCAGGTACCTAGAACAGCCTTTAGGATCTTTAGTAACTCAGACTTTCCTGTATTCATTTAGATTTCAGTCTCTTAACATCCTTTGTTACTCAGGGAAATAAGGACCATGACACAGGGTGACAGTGCTGTCTGTATCAGCTCAGGGCCTCTGTGTGTCCTTCAAAACAAATTTGGAGAGCAAGGGACACAAGTGCCAAGAGGACTGCAAAGCATTTACACATCTCTTCTTGTCACAGTTTGCAGGGCTGTAGAGGTTGGAACTCTCAAACCTCTTCCTCCCCTCATTCCCCTTCTCATTTCCACTCATGGGAACTTTTGCTCTAAAATGGAAACTACAAATGATGCAGTGGCTGAAACTGTCACAAGGTAAGGATGACCACCCTTTTCCAAACTCATCCACACAAATCATACACTCATGTCAGCTGCTTCTACGTTTTTCCCTTGAGCAGCAATGGCTGCCCAAGAAGAAAGCTGAGCCCAAAGCTGCTGGAATAGTGATCACTTACAGACAGCCCCAGCTTTTATAGGGGAATCTGAGCATTGCTTTAGGATTTACCTCAGTTCAGGAAAAACATGAATCCAGGCCTCCCTCTCAAGAGACCTTCTTGCCCAGGCTGAGGAGGTGGAGAATCCATCATGGAGAAACAGGCACGTGGCCCATCTGCTCCCCTGGGGCTGTGGGATTGCTCTCTCTTGGCCATAACATCCTCTGCTCCCCTCCTTTCCCTTCAGGACGCTGGTTGAATATTCATCTGTTCATCATCAGTGACTCAGGGCAATTTTTTTAAAAAATGCATTTGAAAGAGAACCATATCAAAATGAACCTCACCACCAAAGCACATTCTGTTCAAGTGACCTCATGCTTTGCTTCCCCAAACATCCCCTTAAGTCCAGGTATCACGTTCCTATTTCAAATTGCCTCGGGGGCTCTCTGCCTCCTTGAAGACAAGTGGGAGGAAGCAGCAGGGATTTGCAGTGCACACATCCAGGATTTCCCTGCCCAAGAAGGAAAGCCCCCAGTGCCAGTCACCGTGCTGCATACCCAATGCTCCATCCCAGTTGCAGATAGCGGGCAGCAATAGCCACGCTGCTCCTGTTCTTTCCTTCATGCTCCATTTGTCTGGCAGGCAATTCTCTGTTCACATCACCACAAAAATTACCTGTTAGCCTGTACCACGAGAATTGCTCTCTAGCCTGCAAACAGCATCTTGCTAGCTGGCTTCCACTTTCTGATCTCTGCAGGAACTGGCATAGGGAAGAAAAAAAAAAAAAGAAAACAACACTGAACACACCACTTGGCATCAGATAAGTGCTCTTTCTTTCTGAGCAATACGGGAACGGCACGGGATTACGGTAACGCGAGGATACTGCCTGCTCCAGCAGCAGAGCAGCAAAGTTCCTGCTGCTCCTTGGCAGCGTGGAGCTGAGTGCTGTGAGTGGTGCTGTGCTGCCAGGGATGCTGGAGCTGAGCCCCCCCCGGGCACTGGGATACTGGGAACCAGTGTGAGTCATCACAATGCTGGTGGGGAAGGAGAGGAGCAGGGGGTGTGCAGGCAGAGAGTCCCACCTCTGCATGAAGAGAGGAGGCTGCTGTGCTGTGGGGCTGCCCATCCCCTTCCAGATGCTCAGAGCTGCGCCGTCTGCTACAGACTGAGGTGAGTGTGTGCTGGGGGGCACAAGGGGTGAGGGTGTGTGCTCTTTCTCTGCATCTTATCTCCCCACAGGCAGAATATCACCTGGTTGCTTTGGAGCATGAATATCCATCAGGCATTTTTGCTGCATCTCCTTGTCTTACCTTGAAGTTTAGTTCCAGGTGCTTAAAAATCAAGTTGGATGGTTGCTTAATTTCCTTGTCCACCAGCACCATTATAATGACTGCAGTTACAGTGATTTCAGATGCTCAGTGCCACAGCCTATTTTCATTGATGTGCTTATTAAAGCCTGTCATTTGGGGGTTGGAACCCACCAACCTAACTCATTGTTTCATTCTATGGTCTCCTTTCTTGGAATTGTCCTTCTACTCATTCCCTCTTGGGGAAAGGAAAATACAAAGACTGAATTTTGTTCCACTGCAGGGAGGGCAAATTCCCACAGTGGAATACCTCTCCACCTCCCTCCCCCATTCTCCCTGTTACAAACGGGGCATTCCAGAGGTTCAGGGTAAGAGTTCCAGATCTCTTTGCCCAAAGGAAAATGTTGTTTTGAGACCAAGCTCCATGACATTTCCTGCTGCTCAGTGCTGGAGGTGTGATCTGAGGAACTCATCCAAAGACCTGTGCTACAACACTCAGTCTTACCTTAGATTTAACTGGAGTGTTATTGCTGGAGGTTTTTCAGATGTCCCATCAATACTTTGGATGGGAACATTGAACCTACATGTAGGCGTTGGGAATGGCTTTCAGCTGACATATGCAGTTTCCCTTTGTAGCCCTGAGTCTCAGTTCCCAGCTTATCCTCACTTCCCCATCTGATGTACCTTTTCTCCATATTTAGTCAGCCGAGGCTGAGTTTGTCTTCCAGAGACATGAAATGTTGTCTCTCTCAGTAGGAAACTTGTCCCTTGCAGCATCTTCTGCTTGGCAGAAATTGCTTTTCCCTATAGATTTCCAAAACGGGCTGTTAGCTGGACTAACGAGTAGTTTGGTGTGTAAACAGAGCCACTTAATAAAGAAATCTCAAATTAAATTCCAGACTTACAAATCTGCCTCACAGTTTGTAGTCCCAAATTGTGTCCTGCAGGCTCCCTGAGCTGCTCTCTGCAGGTGAGCTGATGGTTGGGATGGATTGCTGTCCTAAAGGAGAGCGGACCACTGCTGACAACACAGTAAGAAAAATCCAGGCGACAAAATTCATGTTGTTTTCATAGTTGTTAAACAATGCTGGGCCGAAAAAGGTTGGTTCCACCAGCTGCAGCCAGCATGAGAAAGGCTCCCTAAAATAGCTCCCCACTCTATTCTTATATGGGAACCATAGCAGTGAGCAAACGCTGCTTCTGGGAATCGCATTGTGCCTTTGTCTCTTCCAGGAGTTGATCATCTGAAAGGAGCACAGCAGCCTGCATCAACAACGTGGCAAACTTCACTCTCCTTCAGAGCCAGAAGTGGATGAAAACCAACTTCAAGGAGCCCAGCTGCCAGCTGCTTCACACGCAGAGGCTCTGATCGACCCTCAGACCCTACAGAGCAGTGGTGGCACACATCTCAAGTGACACTGCAACAGCCTCCACCTGGCCAGGCTTCTGCAAAACCTATTTGTAAGACAGAGTCAAGGCTAGCAAAAGGTAATTTAAAGCACGAGTGACTATTCCTCTTTGGAGAAACCTGGATTTGAGACCCTATGGGATGTTTTTTGCTACTTAAATATTCACTCTTCCCAAGGAGACAGAAATGACTTGCACCTGTGATTCCAGTACTTCTCATCACATTATCCTGGAAAGCGGGAAAAGCAGCCTCAGTTTTATGTAGCCTCATTTCTGCAACCCAGGAACAATGCAAAAGGGGTTAAATCTGACTTGCAAACAGTGGATTTTAGCTGTGCTAGAATGGTAAATATTTGGGAAGAAAAGTAGGCTTTCTACTATGTTTTTGGATCCTTCTCATTACTCCTGGTGCTGCACTGCTGAAACTTTCTTTAAAAATCTTCCACCCAGCAAAGTCAGGCAATGTTGCCTGTAGGACATTCTGAGGACTGATCCCATCACTTTTTCTACCTGAAAAGGGCGTGAAGTACAGTAGCCATTGCCAGTCACTCACCATGGTTTTCCTCTCTGGGAACTCATCCGACTGTTCCAACTGCACCCACTCTGCAGGGCCCGTGAACATTTCCAAGGCCATTTTGCTGGGTGTTATCCTAGGGGGGCTGATCATTTTTGGGGTTTTGGGTAACATTCTGGTTATCCTCTCTGTAGCCTGCCACAGGCATCTTCAGAGTGTCACCCACTACTATATAATTAATCTTGCTGTAGCTGACCTCCTCTTGACATCCACTGTCCTGCCCTTCTCTGCTACTATGGAGATTTTGGGCTACTGGGCCTTCGGGAGGATCTTCTGTAACATCTGGGCAGCTGTTGATGTCCTTTGCTGCACTGCTTCCATTATGAGCCTCTGCATCATCTCGATAGACAGATACATCGGGGTGAGCTACCCACTGCGATACCCCAGCATAGTGACAGAGAAGAGAGGCCTCCTGGCTCTGCTGTGCGTGTGGGCGCTGTCTCTGGTCATCTCCATTGGACCTCTTTTTGGATGGAAGGAACCAGCACCCGAAGATGAGACCATCTGCCAGATCACCGAAGAGCCCGGCTACGTGCTGTTCTCCGCGCTGGGCTCCTTCTACCTCCCACTGACCATCATCCTGGTGATGTACTGCCGAGTGTATGTCGTGGCCAAAAGGGAAAACAAAGGTTTGAGGTCAGGGTTGAAGATGGAGAAATCTCGTTCTGAAGCAGTGACCCTACGGATCCACCGCAAAAATGCCTCCGAAACGAGCGGGGCCACGGCCAGTTCTAAGAGCAAGCATCACTTCTCAGTGCGTCTCCTCAAGTTCTCCAGAGAAAAGAAAGCGGCCAAGACCCTGGGAATTGTAGTGGGATGCTTTGTTCTGTGCTGGCTTCCATTTTTTGTAGTCATGCCTCTTGGTAAGTAATGCATAAACCCCTTCTACAGCCCCTTCCCCCAAAGGAGGGCCATGCGTTTGCCTGTGTTCAATAGAGCCGATCAGAAGAGCGCTGAGGGAATTGTTTTCTGTTGGAAAGCTGTCAAAAATCAAAACATGCATCAAAACTGAACGTGAAAAATGAACATGTCAAACCTAGCCAGGCAAAGGGAAGCTAAAATGCTGAAAAGAATGAAATTGATTTTGACAGCCTTTTTCCACATAGAAAATACCCAAGGACTTATTCCTGATCAGTCCTGCTTTAGGAATGGTATTTTAGGTGTTTGTGTTTATATTCCAGTTTGCAGCCAGTTCTTCAGGTGATATAAATTTATAAAAGGTCAACACATAAAAGTATTCATGGTCTAAGCAGCAGTTTACTGTTTGGGGACAAAACTCTCTAAGTGCTCAGAACCCATTAATTCCCCGCTATGAGAAATAATCAGCTCTCTAATAGAAGGTGTCATGCTATGAAATACCATATTCCAAATGAATGTATTTTTAATTTATCACCCATCCAGCCACAGCACAGCCATGAGGATCCTCCAAACTAATTTTACACTTCTCTGGTTTGCATCCTATGTGGAAACCCACTGAGCACACTGGCCAAACACCGGCTGCTGTCTCACTCTCCGTGCTGAATACAGATATTTATTCCTCAGCCATAATTCTAAAGGGGTGGGATGTGTTCTGCTTTGCTATCATGAAATATAAAGTAATCAGAACCTTAATTAAACTTTGCTCAGTCACCTTTGATGTAGTTTCAGGATTCAGAACCAGAATGCTAATTTTATGACTGCATCTGAGCGTGGCACGTCACATAAAGTTTGCAAAGCGAGAGCTGTACTAAATGCTGGCTTTGGAAACAAGGAACCTTCCATCTGCCCTGTCCAACTACAGCAGCTTTTCTCGCAGTCTTGAGGCAGTATAGGAAAAATAAAGTGAGGCTGCAGGCTGCATGGAAATTTTAGCTACTAGTGTTACACTGAGTACAATGAGAAGGGAAAACGATGCTTACCTAAGCACTAAAAGGTTTGGGAGATTATTTTCTTTTCTTACACCTTACAAAAGACGTTGGGTTCTTTTTCAATTAACCTCTCCTGAATTAACCCAGAGCACCTGGTTGTTTCCCAAAAAAAACATCACAAATGTTAACACACACACACAAAAAAAAGTATGGATTCACTCTCATTGGTCAAATAGATGGAGGTGATGGAGCAGGAGTTGGAGTCTGAGCTGTAGCAGTTGCATAAGGGGAGCTCTGGAAAGGCTGGCTCTGCTGCCCAGGGTGTCAGCACGTTGGAATGCTGGTTGCCAAGATGCCTGAAACATACCCAAAAAGGGTTTAAGAGAACACATCAAACACACTACTTTTCATCTGCTGTGCGGCTGCACACACGGTGCTGTTGTTAATTTGCTTTGGATTAGGAAATTTGCTTGATTGAAGACCAGCTTTGCATCTTCCTTTGATCCCTTATAAGGCAACTTTCTTCAGGTTATTAGCTTCCCTGTCTTCGTGGAGTTGCAATGTTGTTTTAAAAGTCTTTCAGAACGACTTGTTGATTTGTCAGAGACAAGGAGCTGTTAAACTGAACAAGAAAGCATCCTGAGGCAGGCTGCTCCACCCTAACCAGTGTCAAGAACCCCTCAGTTATCAGTCTTGCCAGCTGGGAACCAAGGAGCAGCTAGAAGCACCTGGCTCACTGAAGTACACAACGAGCAGGGGTGGAAATGTTTGGGGTGTAGGTACAGGGAAGGCAGGAGTAATAAAAGGAGATTGAGAGTGGGATAAAGGCGTGACATTCAGATCAGCAGATACTGCCGAAAATAAATGGAGAAACAATTTGAGTATTCCTGCCACATGACAATATCTTAATTGAAATCAGTGTGTAAAATTGCCAGTTGCAATCTATGTGAGTAATGTCTTACCTTCTTGGATCCCTCCATGGGAATGAGCATTATGTTCCATACACCTCCTCACTTGGCTTCGATGGTTGTGGAACAAGCCAACAAACAATGATCTTGTTGCATGGAAATAAATGAGGTTAGGGCACTGGCATGCAAACTGAGCTTTCACAAAATGTCTCTAATTTGAAAGGCTGTCACAACAGCCCGTTTCCCCTGGAAGAAGACAGGTTTTCAGTTCTTTGCATGCTTTCTCTCCCTCTTTCCATCTGATCAGTGGACCTGCTCCTGGTCACAAAGCTTTCCTGTAGCAACTTCCTAGAACTCAGCCTATCCTCACAAACCAGTTCTAACTCAAATTGCAATTCTCATGTTCCCGTTGCATTCCCCAAAACTAGACCCAGAAAAGCTCTAACTCAAATTGCAGTCTTTGTGTTCCCCTAATTGAGTCTCAGCTCCACTCTAGACAAATTCTTAGCACAATGTGAGCTTATTTTCCATCATGGGTTAGACTGATGGAAATGCTGGTTCAGGTGGAGCAATCCTCCAACACATTTAAGCCTAAATAAGAGTTTAGTCTGAGAACCAGCAAAACAGTGAGGTTCTTTGTGACCAGTAACCTTTTTGAACGATACCTTTTCTTACTGAGCCCCAGTCCTCTCTGGCCCCCAGCAGTGGAAATTTGATCCCTTTGGTCTGCAAATCTCTCTTTGAATTCTTATCATTCCCCTCACAGAAGAGCTGTAAACCCACTGATGAATGAACTTTGCACAGATGCTTCCTAGAAATGTCACTGCCTGGGAAGAATTGCGTCCAACGCTTCAGCTCTTGTATTGGGTTTTAAACTAAGGAGACTGAAGCTCACATACATCTACATCTCTCTACAATTGTTTCCCAATCAGATTTTTGGGTGTATGTGCCAAATTTTCCTTATTTCAGGCATCAAGCCTTTCTATAATTATAGAAGGGATATATTCAACAGAAGAATGTGTTGAAGAACAGATAAATCTCCTGCTTAGGAATTCAAGATTCCTTGTCCACATCTCATTCAGCAACAACTGAGGTTTGCTCCCAGGGGGCCTGTAAGAACATCTTACCCCACCCCGGCAGCCAGGTATCCAGACCTTCAAGTAAAGATAATTCTCTGCACACAGCTGTTGGTCTCACACATCTCCCATATCTGCAGCCTCTTTTTCTTACTTTGACCATTATTTCTTATTAGCAACACCTTATTCCCAACTGCTGGCAGCCACTTAAGTGAAAACCCATAGCACCTGAGCTTCCTTGGTTAACAGCCCTGCTTGAAACTGCATGGTCAGAACAGTTTTGAAACAGTTTTTTCTAGTACTGTCCATGCTTTGGTTGAATCATAGAATCAGAGTATTTCCACAGTTGGAAGAGACCCATAAGGATAACTGAGTCCAACTCCTGACTCCACGCAGGAGCACCCAAAAATCAGACCGGAGGTAGCCTTACATTTGGCTCCTTTTTCAAACCATAATGCATTCAATTCAAGAGCTGAGAGGAGCTTTTAGCTTTCCTACTCAAGACCTTTTTACTGCAAAACGTTTTGTTTTCATCTCGGTTATCAAATGAAATCCTGCTGCTCATCACAATTGTGTGACATTTTAGCAGAACTCTTTAAGACCACGACGAAGGGAGGTTCAGGTTGGATGTTAGGAAAACTTCTCAGAAAGCATGGTCATTGGCACAGGCTGCCCAGGGAGCCACCATCCCAGGAGGTGTTCCAGAGCCATGGAGATGTGGCACTGAGGGACATGGTCAGTGGGCATGGTGGAATGGATTGGGCTTGGGGATCTTGGAGGTCTTTATTGACCTTAATGATTCCATGAAGAAACAGTGCCTTGAGGACAACAGTGTTACTTTTTTGATTGGAAACAATTAACACTGAGCAGCCAGGATCTCTGAGGCACCAACTACAATAGGCCACCTGAAGCTAAACCTGAGAACAGGTTTCTGGAGCAGTTAGAAAGGTGAGGAGAAAGGGCAGGGCCAGCAAATGGCCCAGCAGCCACCAGCAAAACATAAAGCAACAAAAGAGAGTCAGCCCAGAACCAAGAGCCTGACCTTATAAGCAGCAATGGTGTGTGTGGGTAAAGGTCACAGGTGGGGCTCTCAGGGCTATGGCCCTCTGCAGTGATGGAATAACAGCCTGTTTCTGATGCTTTAAGGAGGTGATTGATTTTAGTTACAGCACCTTTCTTGGGCCCCTGTCAACTCAGCTGTAAATTAGTTTTGGAAACCAGTGGCAGCCAGACACAATGGAGAGGCTTCCATGTGCTGTCACATGCAGAAATTCATCTGCCTTGATCACACTGGGAAAGGCATGATTGAGCTGCTCTTTGTGTTATAAAGCTGGGATAATGCACTTGTCTGTTAGAACTCAGTACTTCCCCAGCACTGAGCTTTGAGGACCTGCCTGGTTTGTATTACCAGTAAAAAAAAAAACCATATCAGGTGTATCTTGATGGCTTTTGCTCTTTCCAGGACCGTCTGAGGTTCCATTCATTATGTTCTCTTGTCACAACACATTCTGATCAACTCCCACTGCTGCTGGCTGAGCCACCCTCCATCCTGCCCCACTTATTGGCAAAGTTGTTGGGCTTCAGGCCGTGTTCCTTCTCATGACAGAGCTGGGTGAGAGGCATGAAGTGGGTGCCTGTTCTGTCTGTGTTTTTTTGTAGGAGGAAATCAGCTCCCTGTCTTGACATTCACACTCTGCAACTCACTGTTCACTTCCTGCTGACTCCTTCAGATGCTGGTGCTTTAATAAGCAAAAATTGGGAATGGCTTGCAGAATAACATAATCCAGCTTGAGAGACGGCGCTTTGAATATTATTTTTAGAGTCTTCTGGGGTCCAAAAAAGGGGAAGGTTTGTGATTCACCCATTTCCAACCATTTGACCAACAGCACGAATGGGAATTGCACTGTGTGAGATTCAGAAGTAAGCTGGGATTTGTCATTAACAGGTTAACTGCAGGTGCCAAACAGAAAGTCACCAATTTCCTGTAGAATCAAAGCCATTTTGCCTGTTGATGCTGAAGTAATGTCTAATT